AAAAAACGATTCGAAAATCAAATGAAATGAAATTAATTTCATTAAAAAAAATAAGGGTTGATTGATTGATTGATTGATCGATTTATTGTGAGCGAGTGAGCGATTGAAATTGATTTTTTTTTCGAAAAAAATCGTAATCAATTTGTATGCAATTTTATTTTCGATTTGAAAATTACAGTCAAGGGATTTGCAATAAATTGCAATTGAGAAAATTAAAATTGTATCAAAATTGAAATAGATTGGATTTTTTTTTCATCATCTAATTATCTTAAAACGATTTTTATTAATCGATAGTATCGATAGTATCGATTAATAATGATTGACCGCACCTAATTTTAGATAGTGGATTTTTCCTGGTTATTTTCAATTACGACAAGATAAACACTGATACGAATATACGAAAAACATTTTTGATTTTTATTGTTTTAAATTCAATTATTTAACGAAAAAAAAATTTGATATTTTTTTCAGAAAAATATTCTAAACGGATTTTCTAAATATTCTTTCCATAATGTACAGAAACGTGTCATTGTTGCACCATCAATAATACGATGATCAGCTGACCATAATACCTGTACAATATGTGCACGTTTAATTTGATCCGAATCATCATCAATAAAACGTGGTAGTTTACGTATACGACCAATAGCACCAATTACAACTTCACCTGGCATCAATACAGGTATACCGAATATACCGCCAATCTATTTTGTTCGTTTTTGGTTTTTATGGTTATCGATAAAAAGAAAAGAAAAGAAATGGTTATTGTTTGTTTTAAATAAGAAAATAATCACCACTACTACTTACCGAACCAATATTAGATAATGTAAATGTACCACCATTCAAATCATTAATACCTAATTGTCCTTTTTGTCCTAATTGTTGTAAACGATTTAATTCATTGGCAATATCTAATATTGTCATTTGATTGACATTTTTAATATTTGGTACCAATAATCCTTGTTTAGTATCCATAGCAATACCAATATTATGTGATTGATGATAAATAATTTTTTCACCTGATATATCTATTGTTGAATTTAATATTGGATATTTTTCCAATGCTAACGATGTTGATTTAATAAAAAATGGCATCAATGATATTGGTATATTTTTTTCATTAGATATTTTTTTCATTTCAGGACGTAATTTAATCAATAATGATAAATCGATTTCTTCACTTAGGCCAAAATGTGGAACTTGTAATGATTTTGTCATTGTTTTGAACATTCCTTTTGTTATACTTGAAAATGGTTCTATACGATCTGGTTCATTCAATGGAATGTTGGATGTAGTCGTTGTTGGTGATTTTTTTATTGACAATTTTGATTCAGCCTTTTTTATTGTCTGCGATGTTGTTGTTGTTGTTGTAGTGTTATCTGCTTTTACATCTATAGCAGGCTTTGCTGATTGTTGTTGTTGTTGTTGTTCCAAATATGTAAGAATATCTTCTTTTAGAATTCGACCATCTTTACCCGTGCCGATAACATTGTTTAAATCAACTTTATGTTCAATAGCCATACGACGTACAGCTGGTGTTGTTATAAATTTACCACCACCAAGATAATCTTGATGATGATTATTTTCATTATTATTAATGGTAGCCAAATTATTATTATTATTTGATTCATCATTAATCATAATAATTTTCTGATTTTCTGGTTCTGATTCTATAATTGTAAATTAAATTATAAAAAATTAATTAATTAATTAATCATTTTAATTAGTTATAAATTATTTATTTATTTATATTTTAAAAAAATAATCAAATTTACCTGTTGAATTATCATCCGAATCAATTAAAATATCAACTAATGGTTGACCAACTTTAGCCATATCATCAATTTGATAATAAATTTTTTTAATTTGTCCATCATAACGACTTGTAATTGTAACGGATGCTTTATCACTTTGTACTTCACAAATATTATCAAATTGTTGTACATGATCACCAATATTGACAAACCATTCTTTTATAACTACTTCAGATATTCCTTCACCAATATCCGATAAATTAAATGATACAATACGATTATTTCCACTTAGATATCCTTGAAACGAAAAGAAAAAAGAAACAAAAAGAAAGAAAAAATGTTTAAAAATTTAAACGAAAAAATAAATAAATAATGACGGATATATCCGACTATTACTATTACTACTTCTTCAGTACCGTTATTATAAATTATTACCCATAAAATGAATAGAAGTAGGCGAACAACATTATTTATATCAAATGTTTTGATTATTATCTTCGAAAAAAAAAAGATACAACAATCACAATTTAACTAAAAAGATAGATCGATCGATCGATCGAAGATGAATAGTTTTTAAAATGTAATGTAATTTCAAACTTATCATCATTATCATTATGTTTTTTTTTTTTTTTTGATGGTCACGATAAACATTCGATTTCTATATCAACCCAACAGAGACATTATTGTCGTTTTCTTTCTGTCTGTCTGTCTGTCATTATAGCATTCTTAAGAAGAATCCATCATTTGTAAAAGATGTTGTTTACCCAAAAAAAATACGTTTTTATAATGTGATCCAACGAATGACAAACTTGAATTTAAACAACAACAACAACAACAAAATAATAAATTATTATTATTGAAAATGCAAGAAAAGAAGAAAGAAAATATTGCTATAACCAAAGAAAATGGTTATGGGAAACAAAAAAATATGACAACAAAACAAAATTCTTCCTTATTTGGTTCTTTCTATTTAGGTTTGTTCGTGCCACTTGTCATTTTTATTTATTTATTTTTTATATTTGATCATATAGGGAGAAAAGGAATGTTTTTGGTGGGGGAAAAACAAAAAACAAAAACATCCGCATCAAACAAACTTAATAAACAAACAAACAAACAACAACAACAACAATAATAATGATGATTATTATGATAATATTGAGCAGAAAAAAAGTGTGAAAAAAATTCTTTCTGCTGACTCGATTCTCTTCAACCAACCAACCAACCAACCATCAAACGAGAAAAATCCAAAATAATCATTTTTTAGTTGTCGTTGTTGTTGTTGAATACTTTGCATTCATTTGCAGTTTTTTTTCTAATATTAATATCTGCAGTTGCAAACAAAAAACAAGGAACAAAATTCATTTCCCATCCAAAAAAAAAAAAACAAGATTTCGAAACTACGACTACGACGAAGAAAAAGAAAAATCAATTCAAAGAATAAGAATTCTAATTCTTTATGTTTGATTTATTTCCGACGACAAACAAAAACAAAACAAAACAAATGAAAGAAAAAATCCTTCGAAAATTATTCGATTCAATGAATAAAAATGGATGAATGAATGAAAAGCTAATATTTTTTTTGGGATTCGTAATCGAAATTCGTTCTTGTGTCACAGATTTTTCTTTTGGCCGAAAGAAAATCTGGTTGTTTTCAAAGCTAAAACCAAAAAGAAATCGAAAAGAAGAAGAAGAAGATGATGATGACAAAATTATTAATAATAATAACTTTGAATGAATTGACATCATCTTTTGATGATGATGATGATTATCATCTTCAACGAACGAAAAAATGAAGAAAAAAAATCAAAAGCTTCTTAAAAGTAGTTTTTTTTTTGTTGTTGGCTGATTAGATTGGCCAACTTGATTCTTCTTCTTCTTCTTCTTCGTTTTGTTCAATCAAACATTTTATCTAATCATTTGAAAATGGAATTTATACAAATCTGAATGCACCTGAATTTTTTTGTTTTTTTACTTTCTCAGTCAGTATTTTTTTTTCGAAAATCCTTTTTTAATTTGCTTATTTAGTTTTGTTTCCAACAACAAAAAGATAATAAGAACAGGAAGAGAATTCGATTATTCAAGTTCACGAAATTCATTTTTGATAAAGAATATAAATTTATTCAATTCATTTTTTGTTTCTGATTCTCGTCTGAATGAAAAATTTCTCTCGGGAAAAAAAAAGTATTCAAAATGTAAAAACAATGACAATTTGACATTTTGATTTTGATTTCGATTTTTGGCATTGAAAATCGATAGTATCGATATGTGTGTGTGTGTGTCCTAAGGAGAAGTTGCCACTGCCCGCCAATGCAAGGGAAACACTAAGGCGGGAGGGCGTGTGTGTGTGTGTGTGACCAAACATTCGAAACAAAAAAGAGAAGAGATAATGCTAAAATTAGAATTTTGTTCACTGTATTTAGGAATTTTTTTTTCGATTACAAAATTGATTATTCAAAATGAATTTTAGAAATGAAAAAGGGAAAAAATATTGTTGAATGAAGATAAACGAACCAGAAACACACACATAGACTGAATAATGATTATGATGAACAGGAACAAAAACAAACGAAGAATAAATTTTCATATTAATCAAAAAAATGGAAATTGATTGTTTTTGTTCACATTTCAAAGAATTAGAATTCAAGAATTGAATTTGGATTTTTTTCAATGCTTTTTATCATTCACTCACTCACTCATATCACTAGAAATGTGTCAACAACCAAAAAAAAATGGCCAATCATTTGATAGTTGATTTCGATTTGAAAAATAATTCTTGTCGAAAAACAATATTTCTCCCAAAATAAATTTTGAAAGATCAAATCAGAAAGAAGCAGAAGAAGAAGAAGAAAAATTCAATTGAAAATTCCTCAAAAGAATTTCGAAGAAAAACGAATCATATACAATAACATTTACAGTGGACACTTTAGTAAAACAAAAAAAAACAATTAAAAATGGATTAATTTTCACTATTTTTTCTTCCGGTCACGAATGAATGAATGAAAATCTAGACGATCAAATGACAATTTTTGGGTAATAATTAAAACTTTTTGTGAAAAAAAGTGATAAAATGATTTTTATGTTCCGGTTATAACTACACCCACACAGTCAATTCATTTTGGTGTAAATAGTGTGTTTGTGAATCACTCTCAAAATGGAAAATCTTACTTTGATTCGAATAATTTATAATCGATTGTGAATAACGATTCCATCGATTATTGTGATAATGTGAGTGGAATTGATTTTCATATTTTGTCCGGAATGATAAACATCTTGATGAAATAATTTTTGTCGATGACAACGATGATGATGATGACGAACGAAACCAGATATTTGATCGGATTGCAGAACGCAGAAAGATGGACAACATTTTGGTGACTAAAATTTTCGGAATAACCGCAACAAAAACAACAATAATAATTTTCGGTGATAATGACAAGTTTCTTTTCTTTTCTTCAACATAACATTGCTGTGGATTGGATTTATTTACTTATTATTCAACTTGCTCAATATCGATAAGGTCAGTGAAGAAGCAGAAAATGATATAGCAGACGTCTTTTTTTTTGTTGATGATAATTTCGATATATTCAATAACAGGATTTTCTTCTTCTTCTTCTTCTCGAACAACATTTATCAATAACATCATCACCATTTGTTTCGTTTTGATTATGAAAAAAAAGTATCAGCACATAATAAATCCAGTATGACATTAAATTTCAACGTTTTTCCATCGATCGAATGATATCATAATCTCTCTTTCACAGTATCTTTCTTTTTCTCACTCATCTTTTTAGCTCTTGTTACATCGATTCAAGGTGACCATCATCATCATAATCATTCGATCATCATTGAATGAACGAATTACAAAAATTACTATATCGATAATCGATTGTGAACATTCGAAATGATCGAAAATCAACTCTATTCGAATTTTTGTTTTTTGGATCAAAAATTTTTTTTATTTATTGAAATTTTGGAAATAAAAACAAAGAAAAATTCGTGTGTGGTGGAGAGAGAGAAAAAGAATGAAAACAAAATTCACAAACATTAAATAATTTGTATATAATTAATAATAATAAAAAGGAAATATTTGGGAAAAATAAAAGATAAGAAAAAAAAACAACAGCAGAGCATTGGTAGTGGATGGTTGGTTGGTTGGTGATGTTGGAGAAAGTGTTTCTTTTAATTTCAGTCGAAAAGGATTTTTGGGTTAAAAAAATTTTTCCATAAGCATTCCGGCGGAAAAGCAAACAATGTGAGTGTGTGTAATGGAATCCATTTTCAAAAAAGAATGTCACATGAGGATGTCAAGATTTTCATTTAGTTTTGTGTTTAATTAAATTTAAAAAAAAAATTTCAATTAAGACATTAAAATTCAGGAAAATCCTATATAAATATATAATATCATCACACCAATTATCATCAGGGTTTTTTCAATAAAAAATGGTTAATTTTTTTCAAAGAATGTGAAGAAAACAAAAAAACAAACACATGGATAAAATTGGATAAAAGATACACACACATCATGATGAAAACAAGATCAATCAAACAAATAAACAAACAGATTAAAAGAATTCATAATCAAGAAAAAAATATATATAAACTGATCAATCGAAGATTCAATCAATCAACTTCATCATCACCATCATCATCATCATTTTGTTGGACATGTTTTTGTTGTTTAAATTGTTTATTACCACCACGAGATATTGCAAATTTGGTTGAATCTGATGTTGTTGTTGTTGATGATGATGTTGTTGATGATTGTGATGTTATTTGATTAATATTTCGATTCAATAATCGTATTAATTTATTTTCCTCATCATTATGTTCATTTCGATTATATTTTGAATTATTATCATCATCATCTTTGATTTTATTATCAGATAATGGTGATGATGATCGATAATCAGTAGTTGATTGTTGTTTATTGCTAATCGATTCTACTTTTATAATTGGATGATCGGCTATTGAAGAAGAATGTATTAAATTTTCACGTTTTGATTTAGATAATACAATTATTCTTGATGGTGAATTTGATTCATTATCATTATTATCATTTGATATGGTGGTTGTTGTTTGTAAATGAAGATTATTTGATGGTGGCTGTTCACCGGATAAACCCAATAAAAGTTTTGAATAATTAACCATTGATTGATCCATTGATACGGATTTTGGTCTTGTTTGTATTGGATTACGTTGTTGATTTTGGCTATTACAATCGATAGTAGTTGAATGTGCTAATGGCATTAATCGATAAATTTTTTTCGATGATGATTGTACATTCGGAAATGCCAATGGTGATGGTGATCGAGAAGTTGGAGAAGTTGATGATGCTAATAGATGACCAGTAGCAGGTTGAACAGGAGAACCACCACCACCACCACCACTTGATCGAGCTAATGGTGACAATGGTATATGACCACAGGATTTACGACGAGGCGAACGAAATGGTTTCAATTTATATTTAAGACCATCCAAGCTTGATGGTCGTGATGATGATGATGCTATGGATGATAGGGCAGGTGAATTTGGCACCGAATTCGATGGTGATGAATCGACTGATGAATTACCGGCCAAATTTAAGGAATCTGAATGCATACTTTGTGTCAAACGATGTTCATTCAATGATCGTTGTCCAACAACAGTTAATGTATTTTTGCTTGAACCAGGAATAGGATTGGTCGTAGAATCACCACCTTTAGGAAATGATTGAAAACTTCGACTAGGAGTCAACGTTGAAGGACTGTTGACCTGTAATACTTTGCCTGATTGTGATAATGGTGATGTCGGTGGTGTAGATAATGAATGTTGTCCACTTTGAGCCATTAATTGATGAATATCGGCACTGGCCCGTTTTGAACTAAGTCGACGTAACAAGCTCGATCGTTTTCGTTTATCCGAATCACTACGTTTAATAGTGGCTTTAACATTACGATGTAATTTGTTTATCTGTGACATTTGTGGTGGTCTTTTTGCCATTCTACTCGTACTTGGATTACGACGACGGCCACCACTTTTGATAGTTGTATTTTCTAAAGGAGTTGTTCGAATATTGATCACATCGCCACCCGAAAACATTAATTTCAACACCTAGATTCCAAAATGACACAAATAGTAAATAGAGAACCAAAAAAAAAACAAACAAAATAATTGATCATACCTGATGATGAAGAAGACCTTGAATTTGTTCTCCATTAATGTGCGTGATTAGATCACCCGGACGAAGACCGGCTTCAAAAGCAGGACTATTATTATGAACTGATTGTACTAGATGATGAACAGTATAAATATCGGTTTCACCATGATAAACACGAATGGCTTTCAATTGAAAACCAAAACCGCCCGGACCTTTTCGTAGAATGATAGGCGGTTTAAGCGATAATGATGAATTAAGTTCACGATTAGGTGATGCATCACGTGAACTGTTATTCGAACCACCAGATGAAATACTCATAGTTTTTTGATGATGATCATCAGCCGGTATAATCAATGATAGACCAGATGCTGAAGCTGATTTAATCACAGAACGTGCTGATGATGGCCGCGATGAATGATTAGATGATGGTAATTGTTTTGCAGCTGTTGTTGGTGATAATTGTACAAAAAATTTTGTACCATTATTCGATGATGATGATGCGGATGATGATATTGCAAATGGTGGTGAATCAGAAAATGATCTATTTGTTGATGGTTGATTATTATATAATGTTTCAACAAGATCCGAATTATTATTAGTAGAATGATCATCAGTTTTTCTAAAATCATTATCATTATCAGAATCAACACTGAATGAAAATTTTGGTAACATAAATTGATTCAATGTTTTTGGTGGTAATTTCGGTAAATTTGTTGTTGTTGTTGATTTAATTATTGTTTGATTATCAGCTGAACCAGATGGTGATGTTAATGTTGGTGATGATGATGATGAAGTTGATTCTTTCGAAATAGTTCTTGTAAATGAATTGTTTTCCGTTGTTGTTGTTGTTGTTTTATAATTTTGAATATTATTGCTTTTATCTGATGATGATGATACTTTCGGTGTACTATGAGCATTAGGAATTTTGAGTATTGGATCAACAACAGAAGTAATACCACAACCAATGTTGTCTTTTGATGAATGAGTTGTTGTTGTTTGACTAATGTTATTATTTGAATTTGTTGTATTGCTTGTAATGGTTGATGATTGTAATGATGGAGCTTTTAATGTAATCAAACGATCTTCGGTAACCGATAATGAACGTGAGATCAATAATTCTGGCCTAGTAACTTGAATTGTCGATGATGATGATGATGATGATGATGAAGTAGTAGTAATGGTGGAGGTTGTGGTGATGTTTGTATTGATTATCGTTGTCGATGCCAAAGTTAATGGAGCAAGAGAATTTTCCGAATAAGCAGTAGTAGGTGTTGTATGACTAGTGATGTTTACATCTTTTAATGATGATGATGAATTAGATGATCGTAATAAGGATGAAACAACAACACCACAACCACCATCCGAAGAATCACCTGAATTTTCTTTATGAATATCCACTCGGCTATAAACACGATGATATCTTGGTGAACATGATGAAAATGATCCGAATAATGAACTATCATCAGTATCATGATCATCCGAATCATCAATTTCATGATTATAACGATCTAAACGTGTATCAAAATAACTAGTATCATCTTCACTTTCTAATTGTGGAACAAATTCAGCTTTCTGTCTTAACAATGAATCCCAATCAATTTCATCAAAAAATGGATGACATTTAACTTCTTGTGCACCCCCGGCACCTAAACGATCAAATGGATCATGTTCCAATAATCTTTGTATAATATCTTTTGATTCATCGGTTAATGGCCAATCTTCTTCATCGGGCCATTCAATACTGTCATTAATTACATGAGCAAATAATTCTTCAGGTGTTTCACCAAAGAACGGTACACAACCAATAAGAAATTCATAAAGTATAACACCAAGCGACCACCAATCAACAGTTTTAGCATAACCTTGACGAAGAATAACTTCCGGTGCAAGATATTCCGGTGTACCGAATACTTGTTTATCGGTAAATTGTTGTGATTCACGATCATAATAACCTTCGGACAATGATGTTGCTAAATTCATAAGACCCATTTTGGAAAGGCCAAAATCAGTCAATTTGATATGTCCTAAAGCAGTGATCAAAAGATTATCGGGCTTTAAATCACGATGAACAATACCGAATATATGTAAATATTCCACAGCTAATACCGTTTCGGCAAAATATAGACGAGCTAAATCCAATGGAAATGGACCAATATTTTTAAGTAATGTTGCACAATCACCACCTTCAACATATTCCATTACCATACAAAGATATTTTTTTGTTTCAAAACTACAAAACATGCTTACAACAAACGGATTGTCAGTAAAACTCATTATATCACGTTCAGCAAATACTTGTTCCACTTGATTTCGCATAATCAGATTATGTTTACTAATCTTTTTCATTGCAAAACGTTGTCTTGTTTCAGTATGACGAACTAAATATACTGCACCATAAGCACCATTACTAATTAATTTAATAATTTCAAAATCATCTTCGGATGGTGGTTTTGATGCTGATTGTTGTTCAACAGCAATTTCATAGTCCGATTTTCTTCGTGGTTGTTGTTGATTTTGATCAAGCTCTTTTGTTTCATCAACATCTTCTAATTCTTTATCAATTGATTTATCATTAAAAAATAAATCTTTATCAACTGTAGGTGATAATGGTATATCGGATAATGGATCTTGATTCAAACCAAGTTTACTTATTATATATTGAGGTATTGATGTTTTCATTGTTTGACTAATTGATTTTGCTTCACCTTCGGCCATTTCTAAATAACGATAAAATTCTTCTGGATCAAATTCTAAACATTCAAGAAGACGAGCAGGACGTGAAACAATTACTAATAATTTTCGTATTAATATGCATAAAAGTTTGGCCGATGTAGGAGATTTTTCTCGACACTATCATTCAGAAAAAAAATTTAAACAAAATTAATTTTTCAACCCTCCACACACACACAAAATAAAAACACTTACATCAAGCAAAAGTTTTTCCAAATTTTCATACATTTCATAAAAATATTGTGTCGTAATAAGTTTATCTTTTGATTTTTGTACACAATCTTTAGCCAAACCAACAACCTGATGATGTGCAAAACGAAATACAGCATCCGATGCAATATCATGATCAAATTCAGCTTTCAATTGTTCATCAATAAAACGTTGTAATTTTTCTTCCATTTGTTGTGTTGCTTTTGGAAATCTTTCCTTATAGATACTATTTACAAGTATTTTTTCATCATCACCGGTAGGAGATCTAATTGGACTACTAAGACTACGAGATCTTGGCCTTAAAATAGTTGGCCTACAAATAACTGTATTTTGTACAGTATCTTCTTCTTGACCACTATTACTATCATTTGATGAACAAAATGAATAACTTTTATCTGAAGATCCAGTTGTAGCTGATTTATTTAATGGATAATGATGGCCACCACCAGTGGAAATTACTTGTAATTGTGAACCATTATTATTATTTGCTGAATTAATATTTAAATGATTGGAACCAGCATTATTATTATTATTGGAATGTGATGCAACAACACCGCCACAGTGTTGATGATTATGATTATGCATTAAAGCAACATGATGATAATGTGATGAATGACTACTGATTGATGAATGTTCATCATGTAATGATGTTAAATGGCACATTTGATGAATTTTTTCTTGTGATGAACATTGTGACTGTAATTTTCGATACACAAAAAAAATAGATTCAATTAATTCATCAATTCATGTCATCAATTATCCATACCGAAACACTGGAACTACCAGGAGTATTTGTACCATAACCACTTGATGGTAATGATGCAACTGACCATCTACGTCCACCTTCCAATATATTTTTCTTAACATTCATATTATTATTATTTGAAGAAACAAAAGAAAAATGATTGAATGGTGACATATTTCTTGGACTATCAATAGGACTATCTATATATTTTTTCAATAAACAAAATATGGAAAATTTAATTAAATGATTTTTTTTTTGAACAGAACAAAACAACCAAAAAAAAAATTTCATACTTTGTTGAGGTAATGGAGATCTGGGCATTGTAGGTGATGTATTTAATTGTAAAAAACTTTTTCTCGATGTTGAACATCGTCTATGGATTAATAAAACAAAAAATGAGTTAAAACAAAATAAATCTTCAAAATCACAAATTACTTACTGTATACGTCGTGGACAACAACCAATACCGGCAACATTCGTACCAACATTATTATTATTGGCATGATGTGATAATGATAATGATGATGATGATGATCCTTCTTTCTGTTTTATTAATGAATAATGATTATTATAATGATGATGATATATATTGAATGGATAATAATGAGAAATGTACATTGTTTTTGTTTTAAAAAAATCAAAAATCAAAAATCAAATTGACAAAAATCAAATTATCTCAATATCCTGTCAATTGACACAGCAAACATTTGATTTCAGGATTTCTCACACAATAGCGAGAGAGAGAGAGAGAGAGAGAGAGAGAGAGAGAGAGATAGACAAACAAAAGTTGGCTATTAAAGAGGATATATAATATCATCATTCAAACAAACATCAAAAAAAAAAAATTTCCAATGAAAAAAAAAGGAATCGCACAACAACAACAACAAATGACAAATCTCAATGATGATGATTCGATTTAATTCAATTCAATTCAAACATTGTTAATTATAATTTTCGAATGAAAATTTTTTTGTCATCATCATCAAAATCATCATTAAATTCTCTCTTCTTTTTTTTTAATTCGGTTATTTTTTCTTCTCTCAACAACAACAATAAAATTCACTGAAAAATTCAATCACATGATTCAACAACAACAACGACATTACATTATTATACAGTGTGGCTGATTTTTAATTATCTAGATTACGACATTGATGATGATCAGGATGATGATCGTGTTTATGCACATTATTATCAAACTACGAAATGAAATGAATTTTGTTTGGTTAACAAAAAAGTTGTTGTTGTTGTTTTTGGCTTTGGAAATTCTCCTGTGTGTGTGTTTGTATTAGGAAATGAAATTCTGTTATGTAGAAGTGGTAGATATTAGCTAAAACTAAACTAAATAACAATGATAATATTGTTTCGGAAAAATACAAAAAAAAAAAACAAATATTGTTGTTGTTGTTGTTGTTGGTCATGAATAAACACAAGATATAAAATTTTGTTTTTTAAAAAAATTACAAGAAATTTATCCCCCTCTCTCCCCCCAAAAAAACAAAACAAACATTACGATTGTCTCTCGAATATTCTATCGAAAATTGTTTTTTGCAAAAAAACAAACAAACTTACCATTGCCAATGATAATGATGGTGCTGATTGACCACGTAATGAATTTCTTATTCGTACCAGATTTGTTGTCGTTGTTGTTGTTGATGAACAATCATTTAATGGATCTATTTACAAAAATGATTAAGAAAATGTAATCAATTAATCACCGATTGATTGAAGGAAAAAAAAACAACAGCAACAAAATAACGGTTGTCATAGTTAAACACAAACACAACAAACATAAACCAGAAACAACATTCAACATTCAAGTGATAAATGATTATTATCAAAATTAATTTTCTTTTGTTTTTGCTTGGTTTAAAACAATTAAATCTTCAAATAATGATTATTATCAAATTGAAATCATTTGTCAAAAACAGACGAATGAAATAAAGTGAAAAATGGAGTGCTTTGATGGTCGAATCAGACAGAATCAACCAACAAACAGAAACAGAAGAATCAACAAAACAAACTAGAAAACATACCAAAAAAATCCATCGATTCATATGAATTAATAAAACGATCATAATAAAAATCAAGATGATCAATACTATGCATTTTTCTTTCTATAGGTTTTTTGAAACTAATTCTTTCAAAACAGACAGCTTATTGTTTGGTTTGTTTGTTTGATTGATTGGTCGAAACGAAATGAGAATCGAAACGAGAAAAATCGATATTTAAAAAAAAAAATCATAAAATTTCTGGATGACATAAGATATTGTGCATAACAACAACAACAACCTAAACAACATTTAAAGCAATTAAAAAAACAGTCATTGGATTATGGATTGAATGGAAAAATATCTATCCATCCATCCAGAGACATTTTTTTGTCGTCTGAACAGTCGACAATTTATCAAAAAAAAAAAAAAAAAAAAAAAAAAATTAAAAAAAACCCCTTTTTTTTCAAAATTTTGTTTTTTTTTTAAAAAAAAAAAAAAAAAAAAAAAAAAAAAAAAAAAAAAAAAAAGATTAAAAGAAGCCACTTTATTGTCAAATGTTGATTTGTTTTTGACAATAAAAAATCGGCAAACATTGCTGTTGCTGTTTGTGAAAAGAATCAGAGAGAGAAAAATTGATAAGATTAATGTCAACTGCAAAACTGCAAAAGTAAAATTAGATCCACAAAACAAAAAATCGGAAACTAAATATCATTCATTCAGTTAGTGAATGGTAAAACTGATACTGATGATAAGATATGATGATTGATTGAAGGAAAAAGAAAAAATTGCCGAAAAACAATTGCTGAAAAATCTAGAAAAAAAGGTGTTAAAGAAAAAAATTCAAGGATTCTCTAAGATCGATGACATGATATTTTTTTTGACAATTATCTTATTACTTTGAACAAAACAAAGGTAAAAGATGCAAGACTAGTGCAAACAAACATCCAAATCATTTAAAAAAATCATGCCATAAAATCAGTGTATCAAATGTATCAAATATTAATTGAATGAATGGAAAATAACCAACAAAAAAACCAATGAACTTTGGGCCATAATGAATGAATGCTGAAAAATGATAATCAGCAAAAGGTGTACTGATGGCTTATTTTTATTACAAAAAAAAAAAAAAAATCTAGGAACCAACAAAATCAAGTTCAAAAAAAATTATAAATTTGGGTTGGCAAATTGATAAAAAATTTTT